CAAAATGAGGGAGTCCATATTATAAACAAACAGAATAAAGAGTGAATTTAAAAAAAAAAATACTTTCACTTTTAGTAAAGTGAGGTATCATTTGTAACATAGTTGATGAAATCTGTTCTTTTAAACTATATTAAACTGCCGAGATCGCTGACAGCTGTAGTTGCTATTTTGTAATGAGCAAATTTTTTCATAGACCTGATTTTGCATGTCGGTCTATTTATGGCACTCAGCTCATATACAGATCTACAGGTGCTAAATGAAATGTTGGGTTGTTTCAAGAATTATATAAGTGTAAGCTTTATATTCAAATGAGCTGCCTGAATGGCCAGAATGGATGCTAAAATATTTATAATTTATGAACATTCTAATAAATCTATCATGAGAGAATAGGTAATTGATAGTTTAGTAAAGTTTTTGATACTGTCTCTCATGACTTTCTCATAAACAAACTAGAGAAATGCAACCTAGATGGAGCTACTATAAGGTGGGTGCAAAACTGGTTGGAAAACCATTCCCAGAGAGTAGTTATCAGTGGTTCACAGTCATGCTGGAAGGACATAATGAGTGGGGTCCTGCAGGGATCAATTCTGGATCCGGTTCTGTTCAATATCTTCATCAATGATTTAGATAATGGCATAGGGAGTACACTTATAAAGTTTGTGGACGATACCAGGCTGGGAGGGGTTGCAAGTGCTTTGGAAGATAGCATTAAAATTCAAAATGATCTGGACAAACTGGAGAAATGGTCTGAAGTAAATAGGATGAAATTCAATAAGGACAAATGCAAAGTACTCAATTTAGGAAGGAACAATCAGTTGCACACATACAAAATGGGAAATGAGTGCCTAGGAAGGAGTACTGCAGAAAGGGATCTGGGGATCATAGTGGACCACAAGCTAAATATGAGTCAACAGTGTAACGCTGTTGCAAAAAAAGCAAACATCATTCTGGGATGTATTAGCAGGAGTGTTGTAAGCAAGACACGAGAAGTAATTCTTCCACTCTACTCCGCACTGATTAGGCCTCAACTGGAGTATTGTGTCCAGTTCTGGGTGCCATATTTCAAGAAGGATGTGGACAAACTAGAGAGAGTCCAGAGAAGAGCGTCAAAAATGATTGAAGTTCTAGAAAACATGACTTATGAGGGAAGATTGAAAAAATTGGGTTTGTTTAGTCTGGAAAAGAGAAGACTGAGAGGGGACATGATAACAGTTTTCAAGTATGTAAAAGGTTGTTCAAAGGAAGAGGGAAAAAACTGTTTTTCTTAACCTCTGAGGATAGGACAAAAAGCAATGGGCTTAAATTGCAGCAAAGGAGGTTTAGGTTGGACATTAGGAAAAACTTCCTAATTGTCAGTGTGGTTAAGCACTGGAATGAATTGCCTAGGGAGGTTTGTGGAATCTCCATCATTGGAGATTTTTAAGAGCAGGTTAGACAAACACCTGTCAGGAATGGTCTAGATAATACTTAGTCCTGCCATGAGGCAGGCGACTGGACTAGATGACTCTCAAGATCCCTTCTAGTCCTATGATTCTATAATATCCAGTACACACCTTATTCTGGAGGAATCCCTTTAACAACATGTGAGGTGTTCACCTCGTACCACGTCTGCTCCCCCAGGACTGAGCTCTGGAGCTCATATTCAGTGCATCAGATTTGCACTTTTACTTGGTGTTTGGACAAACTCAGGCTCTGATGGTTGACTGTGTGTAACAGGTTGATTTACTTTAACAGTTTTTCTTGAAAACATTGCAAACTATACAGATGTTTACATTTTGGAGGCAAGAACCAGATGTTTGCATTCTTAATTGTTTTATAACTTGAAAAAGTTACAGATGTTTTGCCAAGCAGTGTAGGATTTTATTTATGGGAGATTACTCAGCACACAGTAAAATAAATATGCAACAAATGTAATACAAGAAAACAATTCCACCTGTGAGTTTCTTTCTTTTAAGTAATGGAGTCAGAGCCAAATCATGGAAGTAGTGCACAGCTTGCGTGTCAAGGCTGCATTGTAAGGATCTCTGCAAGGAGAAGGGCATGGAATCAGCCCTCTAGGCCATGAAGTAGTAGCGTAGCTGCTCCATAGCTGTGACTGCTGCAATGCTTAGCCCCAAGGCTGGTGTACACCCTGCCTTCTTTGGGGACAATGGTTAGTGCATTGCTGGGACACAGGGAGTCCCCACAAAGCAGAGCACTGCAGCAGGCAGGTGGCATAGATGTTCAAACCCTGCCTCTCTCCTTTTCCTCTGTTAAAGCACAGCATTGTCATAGGACCTGTATCCTCCATGGCCACAGAGCAGGATTTGGCCCTTAATGCTGGTGAAAGGTGTCATATTTAAAATTCAGATGACTGAAATCTGTCATGCGCTGCAGCACTGCAGGCCACCAATGTGCCTCACCCCTGACCTGGAGGGATCACCCACCTACACTGGTGAAAAGGGAAGTTCAGTTTCCATGCCTATTCACTCTCTGCTGAAGCAGCCAGGTGTGGTTGTAGCTTCCCCATTTTAACTCAGTCCTCAGATGCATTCACCATTTGTGTAAACAATCACTATTTTCCCCACCCATGTCCTTGGTGTGAACCCCCAGCTAGCACTGTAGAATAGTTGGCCAAAGGTAGGGAGAGAGGTCACACTTGGAATTTTGGGCCTTGTAACTGGAAGCCCCCAGAACAACTCTGCAAGGAGTCTGAGATTTGCTTAAACTACCCCGCATGAGAATCCTTTCAGAATGTCACTATTAATTTTACATGGAAAAGTTTCAGTACTATGGTGATGGGCAGCAGTATAAAACAGATAAATAGATCTCTGCATGTGTCCAATGAAGAGTATAGTAGAAATTATTTACTTGAATAGGTGCCCTGCAAAAGGTTTAGATGCTGCACACGCTATCTCTCTGCTCCCAAACAGCTCTCTTTTGAAGGGGAGTGGTGTCTATATTATAAATCTTGTGTTATTTTAAATTAAATTATAACTTTTGCAGCATTTTTTTTGTGTGCACAAGGCATTGTGATGAGGGTGTATATTCTAATCATGTGAAGTGGTTTGGCTACATTAGGAAACTTACCTCAAAATATGAATATTTTTGAGCTTTAGAAAGTTTATGGCATTTCAGCATCTCTGAAAACAGCCTATTTTTTTATGTGGTATTTCAGGCACAAATAGAGTCAAGAGGGTTTTTTTGGGTGTATTTTACAGTCTGATTTGAAAAGCAAAGAGGCTTGAACATATCAGACAAGTGTCCAAACTTTTGGATGCTACTTTGAGCCTAATCTGAACTTCTAAGATTTGTTCACCGTTAGTATATATTTCAGAGCTGGAACCAGCCTTCTCAGGAAAACCCTAAACCACTGGACACAACACCAAAAAAGTAGGCACAATAAAGGTTAATTCCCTAGTGGAATGGCTGTTTTTCCACTGTTTTGTCAATAGTGGAGTCAGAATAGGTTCTTTGGACAAGGCAAGTGGAAGTTCCAATGATTTGAAAGTGGAATCAATGATAATTGAATGGTCTCTCTTCAGCAATTTGCACACCAGATGTTTATGAATCACTTATGATTATGTTTATGAATCACTGGGCAAGCACTCAGTGGATGAGATTGTTACTTTGCCTTGAAAGATGACAGGGGTGAGGCCTACATGGATACTTATTAGGGGATGTTCTTTCTTGTATGTTCGTTGCTAACTGGTTCTGAAAGGCTCTTTGTTTATTGCTAAACAATTCCACAGGAAATAAATGAGGTAATTAGCCCTTAGAACCTGTTCTTTTAGACTTGGCTCACCATATCTACTATCTGCAGGGTTTTCCCAACCCTACTTTAAACTTCCACTTTGGAGGCAATGGACCAGATCCTTATCTAGCACAGGTGTAACTCTTGATGTCAAAGGATCTACACTGATTTACCAGCTGGGGATCTGGTCCTACATCTGCTTGCAGCTATCATTTTTTCCCCAAGGAGGACTGAATAGATTTCTGTGTGCAGATGATCACAGTTGCTTCCTTAAATATCCAGATGGTGTCTCTTTTGACTAGAGTTTAGTATTCCCCCTTCTCAAGGGGCTAAGGCTAAGCACTCTATTTCCACAGCCCTGCCAACTCCTCTAGGGCTGAAAAAAAATGACTTGGTACTGGGAATTAAACCTAGGTCTCCCACATGGCAATACAGATATCTTGAACAGAAAAGGTAGTTTGCAAGGCAGAAAGTAAATCTGTCATGATTCACTAGCTCCAGTATAATGTATCATTCCATTTAGTTTTCTTTCAAAGGAAACGATTATATAGCCTTAAGGAGAAAATAGAAATGTTTTGAGAGGTCATTTATATGCCCTCAATATCTGACAAAGAATATGATTTATCATATGACACCGTCCAGATCATGTCATTGTCTGAAATATGTGTCCCCTGAGAGTTATTTTCTATATTAAAAGTCTCTATGGGTGTTTAGAAAAGAAACAGCTTAAAGAATTAGGGCTAGATTTTAAAAAATGAAGCTACAAAAGAATGTGCAAATTTGATGTAGATGTGCAAATCAGCTGACGTGCATGTTAAGGGATACATGCATACACACATAGTTTCATGTATGCACAATCTCTAGTTTGCATGTGTACATCTAGGGATTTGGGTGCATGCAAAATGAATCAGAGTGTCATCCTAAAGAGAAGGAGACAAGAGGCAGCAAAGGGGAGATTCAGAAATATATCGTGTTTAAAGAAATTAAAGTTAATTAACTCAGTCCTATGATCTTTACTCAGGCCAATCTCATTCCATTCAATTTAGTTTCCTAGATTGCACCCATCACTAACATTAACCTCAATGTGCATTTTTGCATTAGTAAGAAATAAAGGATTCCATTCAAAGATAATTAAAAACAAATAATGATAATTTGAACTAAGAACAAAATGGCTGAAATCTTAATTAGTTTTTACTATTTTCTAGAACAGTGCTTTTAAAATAAACCCCGTATAACCAAATTTATATATATATATTTCTCTTTGTAGGTATTGGTTTGCATTGAAAGTTGGCTACCAGGCTGCTTTTAAACAAAACAGCTCAGGAGATCAACTTACTGGGGGCCCTGCCAGTATCATTCATAAATGCGCCATTGATGCAGTGACTGATATTAGTATGCTCAGGGTATTTAAGACTTTCCTGGAGACCACACCCCAGCTCATTCTTCAGATTTACATCCTGATGGAGCATGACAAGGCTGCCTTCAGTCAGTGTAAGTCTCTCTCATTCGAAAGTTGAATATAGTTAAATCTCCACTAAGAAGGCAATCCCTAGTATTAGGTAACACTTTAAAGTATTCCTTGTCACATCCCAGTACAATTTTATTTAACATTTAATTAAAAACCTCCTCTATTAGGTTATCTGTTTTACTAAACTCTGGGAAAAGTTTCACTGTAATATGTAATCGTAATATTTAACAATAACATTGTATTGTGTTTGATAAGTGAAAGCTAATGGATGTAACCAACTGAATAATTTCAGAGTAGTCTATCTTGTTTTCGCTTATTGAATAGGGAGATATCTAAGGTACTTCTATGGCTCCCATTACTGAGCACCTCACAGGCTTTAATATATTTCTCCTCACAATACCTCTGTGAAGTAGGGCAGTGCTATTATCCCCATTTTACAGATGGGGAACTGAGGCATCGAAAGGCTAAGTAACTTACCTAAGGTCACACAGAAATGAGTGGAGGAGCAAGGAATTGAACCTGGGTCTCACAAGTGCCCTAACAATTGGACCATTCTTCCTCTCAGATATAAAGAATGTTTACGTAAAAATATATGAAGTTTTTCCATGGAACTAACATCTATCCTTGTGTTTTATTTAGATGCTTCCATCATCACATCTTTCTGCAGCATTTCCTGGTCAACTCTTGACTATCAGATATCGTTACGAAAATCTCTGCCTGATAATAATCAATTTTCTGGGGTGCCTCCTAAATTAATCTACCTCTTGTATAAACTGTTCACACTGACTTCTTGGATATTGAGTATTGCACTGGTCACCCTATTAAATATCATAAGTAGTATAGTTCTGCTAATATTTCTTTGGACCTTGGGCTTCAGCTGGACTTTGAAGCAACACACTACGTTTTGCAAATCTAAAAGGATGGAATTTTTATTCAGGACTGTTGTTGGGATCATTCTTATTTTTACATTTTTTAATGTCAAGGGGAAAAAACAAAAATGTATATTTCTAGTTATTATGCCACTCATGTGGTTGTAACTTTAGGCATAATGTGTGTGTGTTTGTTCTGGAAGACTTCAGTTACTGAGCAATTATATTTTACATTTGTGAGCATCACAATTGTTCTCACTCTGGGGTTAGGTATTATTTGTCTTATTGTTTATTATAAGTTTTTCCATCCCACTATTTATTTCAAACAAGAGAGTGCTTCAGATAAAGTTGATGGACTAGCAAGAGAAAGAGAAGAAGAAATCAGTAGAATAAGAAATTTCATAATGCCATGAACATTATAGAATTATGTGAATTTTTAAATACGTGCAAATCAAAGCAAATACTGCCTGGGGGACTGTTAGTTACTCTGTCTTTACTTTTCATACTTGCAATGAGCATTTCAAGTAAAATAATTGCTAATGGGAATGGTAGTACTTATCAGCTCTGAATAATTATTAGTTCTGCTGTACTACTCTACAAAGCAAAGACTTTATAAAATGAACTAAGCACTTCTGCATATTGGTGTTTTTCCATCACTTGCAAAATAAATAAAATACAAAAATAGCCCCTGTAAAGGCAAAACAAACAACCAATCCTACCCTCCCACCCAAACCCAGTTTTATTTTTTCCACATAGAATGTAGGAAATATAAAACCAAATCAAGTTACTGTTGACATCATCTTTGTTTCTGAAATGTACTTCTCTTCAAAACAAGGTTCACATCTCCTTACTTGGCAGTGGGAAAGGCCTGAGCTTCATCTAAAATAACCAAGGACTGTGATATGTTAACTGTACCTGAACACAGGGATCACAGAGGATTGATTTACCCTCCCACTGAGAGAGCTACAAACCCACAGCCCTACCCTGGGAGTTCTACCAGGGAAGAGTAACTTTAATTTGTCCGCAGTGCAATAGGAACCTGGCCAGAAAAAGCTTTTGGGGAGATGTGCTCAATCAGTATATTTTACAGATGCTCTGGTAACACACCCTCCTGTTTCATTGCTGTGCTCTCATCCTCCCACACACCCTGTGTGGATTTTCAGATGCCAATAGCTTGCAGACCTGGATTATACCAGCACTGCAGCCTAAATAGCTAATAGCTGAAGGCAGGAATCTCACATAGAGGAAGAGATATCTCCCTTGAAACATTTCTCTCCCAATGGTTTTTAGATCTAATGCTTTAAGTGTTAGGCTATGTCTACACTACTAAGTTAAAAAGAACAGGAGTACTTGTGGCACCTTAGAGACTAACAAATTTATTAGAGCATAAGGTTTTGTGGGCTACAACCCACTTCTTCGGATGCATACATGACTCCAGCTACATAAATAATGTAGCTGGAGTCGACATAGCTTAGGTCGACTTACTGTGGTGACTACAGCGCACTGGGTTGACGGGAAGTGCTCTCCCATCAACTTACCTTACTCCTCTCGTTCCCGGTGGAGTACCGGAGTCGACCGGAGAGCACTTCACTAGACCCGCTAAATTGACCCCCGGTGCATCGATCTCAGCAGCGTTGATCCCGCAGTAGTGTAGACATAGCCTTAGTCTCAGCATAGGGAAGGCTAGAGTCCTGGTATACAGCTACATGGCCTTGTATGACGCAAGTTTGCCTTTGCCACTGGAGAAAGGAAGAATAGTTCTTCTAATGTACTGTTGCTATAGGGATCTCGCCAAGAAGTGATGTGAAATCACAAAATAATGAATTTTTCTAGAAAGGTGCTTGCCAGATACTACAGTGAAACCAGACAACCTTTCAATATAGTTATTTGAAATGCTTAATATATATTGCATAAGGAAAGTAAATGAATAGCCAGAGCCTTTTATTAAATGAAACCGGGAGAAACAGCTGAGAGCTGCTGGCTTTTAGCTCAGTTATAGAGTCACTTGTTCAGCCCTCCTCAGTTCCTCACCCCCCTTCCCTTCTTTCCTTCCTCCATGAGGACTCACACATCCAAATAATGTCATCATGGGAGCAGGGAAAATGGGGCAGGGAGAAAACTGAAGTTGAGAAAAGAGACTCAGACAGTAAATAGGTGATACCAGGAAAATGTCTGTTTGACCAGCACGTGTCCCTTAAACTTTGGGGGAAGGCCTGACATTTTGGTGGATCTAAATCCCTTGAAGTGCAGCAGAGCTATTTCCTGTGTGTATTGTGTCACGTTGGCTTACTGCAGTGATTACAATAAGCTTTTACTCTATATTACTCTTGTTAGCCCTGCAGAGCCAACACACCTAAGAGAGACAGAGCTGGATTCTTTTCCTTGTGTTGTCTCATCAACCAAATTGTTTTTAAGTTCCACTTACAAGGTCAGTCAGTTACATCTGTGTAAATCCATCAAAAGACATGGATTTCCAGAAATGTCACTGACTGAGGGCATACTTTGGATTGCAGAATCTTCATTCCTGGTGATATGCAGGAAAGAAAGAGTGCAGCAAGTTGAGTTTACAGGGCTGACAGTCAGAAAACATTTCCACCTACTGGCAACTATAGAGTGGGACTTTTTGTTGAGGCTGGGACTTAGCAGGACAATCAATGATACTCAAAGTGAAGTTACGGTCATAAAAAATAACTATGTACAAATGGCCCCCTTATTGCCTCAGTGTATTGAAAGCCATGTCTGCAAAGAGAAGTTTCCCCTACTTTTATGGCACTATTTTGTTTGCTTTGCAGAGGCAACATAGTTATGAGAGAGGGTGCTAGATTCCATCCTGGTGTGTGCACATCATCAAAGCCAAGTTCTGCCTTCATCTAAACCTGACATTGAATAGAGTGACAGAGGCACAGATGTAACCGAGGACTGAATTTAGTCCACAGAATCTTTATTACCAGTGATGATGTAGCTGTATCAAGCAGAAAAATTACAGCTTGACTTTTAGATCCCAGGCTGAGTATACTGTTAGTGTTCTAGGAGAAAAAAACAGCAGAAAGTAAACCCTGTTCTTTCTTTGCTCCTTTCTTTTTCAGTTATGCTGATCATTCTAATTCCCAATAAGACATTGTACTCCTCACCTTCCTTCCAGCTTTTGGGCATTGTCTTGCTCTGTGCCACTCTCCAATCACCTTTTCCATCCTCTTTCTTCCTGTGCCTCTGAATATCCACCTCTTACATTTCAGGTAATTAGGTGGGAAAGGGGTCACTTATAATCACCTTACACCGTACTAATTAGATCAGGTCTCATTCACCGTTTTAACCCCATAAAGTTCTAGTGGGTACAAATGTAGCCCATATCCTAGCGTTAAGATGTACATATTTACTGTAAAGCTTACTTCAATCTTGTGTTCCCTACTGGTGGCAAGTGTGGATTGCCAGAATACGCTTCATCAGAGAAATTTCTGCCTTTTTAAAACTGTAATCAGGAAAGAAGAAGACAAGGTATTAAAGTCTATGCAGTAAGTATGCTCCCAACCTTTCAGATGTGCTGCCTCTCTTGATTTGAGAGTTCCATTGTCATAAAGGAATTTGTGAATTCGGAGCCTATTGCTAATGCTAAATCAGAATGAACATAGCTGAGGACACCCAAAAATGAAGAAATATACATATGAATGATACACACATTTTAAAGAAGCAATGGCCACTTCAAAAAAATCCCAAAAAATTCTCCTAGGGATAAAGTTCAAACAATGTGTTTTCTATCTAATCTATCCCTTCCTCCCTCCCTTCTCTGCTGGGCTGCTCTTAAAATTCATTTGTCAGTCGGCTTGTGCATTGTGCCTGACCTTGTCATTTTAATCTAACTGCAAATTGAAAACAAATGTTTTTTTTCTGTTAAGTATGGCCATGACATCTTGCAACAAGTATTTTAATAAGTTAAATCAAAGATAAACAATTTCTTCCTGTTTTGACTACTGTCAGACCTAGGGAAGAGGGACAGAGTGCCATGAAATTGTTTTAATTACCCTACTGGTATCCAGTGTGACATCTGGTGGCACTGGTGAGCTCACCTGATGTACCACAGATAGCACTGATTTACGAAGCCATAATTGGGTTTCCAATAAACATTTGTCAAAATAATGTATTCGTTCAAACCAAAGCCTTCTTTATTTATTCATATAAAAGAGCACTTAACTTTCAACAAAGAATTGCCTGCCATCAAAAACACTCTATAAACAGAGGAAATTTATGACTGCACAGTACCAGAGGGTGATCACTGTAAGACTAAAGTTAACTTTAACCCTTTGGAGTGCTTCATTCCCTTTCTTGCTTGCTACTGGTACCATATATATTTCTTTCTAAAAGCCCTACATCCAGACACTAGCCTTTTTATATTCAGACTTTAAAGCAGCAGCTCTCTTTTTCAGCACAAAGTCTTACAAGCCCAAAAACGGTGGGAAAAGCAAGATCTCTAGTATTGGTCACGCAGTTTGGGGGCTTGCACAAGCTGGTAGTAGCCATAACCTTTTCCTACGTTCCCCCCAACCCCTTCACCTTTCATATGGTCTTTTATAACCCATTTGGAAAAGCTGGCCTTTTCACAGAGTAATGCAGTTTGACTGAACCCTGGCAAATGCATATAGCCATTTATTCATTCATTTTATCTATTAATTTGATTCTATTATTCCTGGCAAATTAGTTAGATGTTACAGATTTCTACTCAGTTGTCAGGACTGTCACAGCAGCATAAAGCAGGTGGACAGTGCAGTCAATATTTGAATATGACTGCAGATTGACACTAATGATGGGTCTTCACTAGAAAAAAAAAGGTTTGCTCTTACCACATATTAGCTCACATGGTAACTAACACACGGTAAAATCCTAGTGAAGTCAAGCCAGTTTGTAGTTTTCACAAGGTTGAGGTAAACACAAGGGGGAGGGGAAGCCCAGGGTTTACCTTCACCTGCTAATTCAAGTTAAAATTACAAACTGCCTTGTCTTCACTAGGATTTGTTAGTTACCCTATCTTAGCTAATATGTGGTAAGAATACACCTTTTTTCCTACAGAAGACAAAGCTTTAGATGAGTAAAGCAGAATAAGCTGAGAGAGAGAGAAGGGGTAAAAGTCACATTTTCTACCCTAGAAATTCTAACTTTATAATTTTGGAAAATCTAAATACAAGACCTTCACTTTTAGTATTATTAGCTGTTATTGATTTTATTTATTTACATAGTACCAACAGCAGGCCGGGCACCTAACAAGTGAGTAGGAAAACAACAAATACATAAGGGATCAAACTGAGATGCAACAAAAACAAACAAAAAAACAACTAAATGATTTTATGGTGAAGTTTAGCATGTGTCTTGTTTTTTCAGAAGTTTTAAATTATGATAATTTGTCTGTCTTGCTAACACTCAGATGAGAGCTAGGGTTTACAGGCTTCCTGGAAAAATATGTTATAGGATTTTGTTCTGCAGGGAGTTGAGCAACCCTTGAGAACCAAGTGCTGAGTAACTTCAAGTCCCATTGCCCCTTCAAAGAACTGGGCACTCATGAAGGTC